ATATGATTACAATATTTTTTATAACTTAATGTGAATATATTGTATGCAAATGGATTGCTTATATACAATATGATATATATATTTAGTATTATGAGGCATTAAATGTGATTTAGTTTGATTATTTGTCAATCTACAATATATATATATATATATATATATACAATCACAACACACAAATGTGTGTCATCCTTTTTAATGACGTGTTCTTCAATGACACGCAATGTAAGTCATACATGTGTGTCATAAATTTATGACATAAAAATGTGTGTCATCTTCATTTATGACAAAGGCTTCAATGACGCTCAATGCGCGTCATAAATGAGCGTCATAAATGTGTGTCATAAATGCATGTCATAAATGCGCGTCATAGATTTATGACACACAATTGTGTGTCATCTGAGATTTATGTCGGTGGCTTCAATGACGTACATTTGTGTGTCATCTGCATCCATAGATGACGCACAATGAGCGTCATTAAAGGGGTTTTTTCTAGTAGTGATATATGATGTTTATCATGAATGTTATTTCGGGTATGAACTCCCCAATGTTGAATTATATTGATATAAATTACCATAGATGAAATAAATATAGATTATATGCCCAAGTATGTCATTGAGGGACAATGGTATAGTTAGCAAGCCATTGAGTCTAGCAACAGGCTGCATGTTTGAATTAGCACTATAGTGTATATAAATGACACTTAGTGTATATGGTGGACACGACCTTATGTGTATTATGGTGGGCACGACCTTATGTGTATTAGCACTTCGGTGTATATTTTGACTCGTAACACAGGGTTCTCATATGCTTATATTTGGGCTATGGTTTATTGGTTAATAAATAACAAACAAGTGAATACGCTTATGAGCTTTTGGAATGAATGGAAAGTATAATAGTAAGAAATTTTATATGTGGTTTATATCATGTTAATATATGGTAACATGATTGAAATACAGGTAAAGTGATCATAACGCATCTAGTATTGATATTTATTTATATTTATGGGTTGCATTGCATTGACCATTACTATGATTGTCTCACTAAGTGTATAATTAGCATGTGATGGTTTCACACGTATGTAAAGGGAAGCGAGAAGAGTAAGGAGCATAGGTGGAATCATCGACTAAGGTCTATCTTCCAGTATCAGTATGGCATATTATATGCTTATGACTTTACTAGTTGGCATGCATATTATAAATATTTTAGTTGCTCTGATATGATAGTTTTAAATTGTTTGTAGTATACAAATAATGCTGACTTAAAATGGGTATTACTAGATAAGAATAATATTTTTGCATGTTTAGTATTTATTAAATTATATTTTATTTGTTATCAAAATGATTTTTATTAGGCAGTTTTGTTTATGATATGATACAATATTGAATTGCCTAATTGCGGTTTGAAATCAGACTTCAATCGAAAGGTAAAATAATTTGTTTGGTTTTACGTGTTTAGTTGATTTTATCGATAATTGTTAAATTGTTTTAGATTATAAACACAAAATCCTTCTGGTTTTTGAATAGTAAATGTTTTAAGTAATTGATGTGACATTTCTAACTCGTGTTCGGGTATGAATACGGAAAAAAAGTGTTACATTTATTGGTATCAGAGTTATAGGTTTAGCAAATTATCGACCTAAACCGAGGTTATTTTGAGTCAAAAAGTGTATACATGTCACTAGGATGTCATAGTTACTGATTTGTTGTTTGTATGAGTGATGTGGCTCTTTACCAACGTAAATGAATATGTGTTTGTAATAGATGTCTGAGATAGAAGAATCGCGACGAGTGACTGAATAGGAAATCTCGAAAGGGACTGCAAGTGGGAGTATTAAGGTGAATAATGAATTACCCGCTCAATTTGAACAACAAGGTAAATCGACACAACAATAAGTGTTAGTGCCAGCATTATTATCTGATAATGCTGAAAAGAAGATTGTACTTGATCCAAACAAACAAAAGAAGACTTTAGTATATCATTATAGGAAGGGGATCATTGTTATGAGAGATTTTCCTCCATTTTGTAGAAGAAAGACCCTATCTATTAACAAGGAAGAATGTGAGATGTGGCTTTGGGTTACCTTTCTGAAAAAACAAGGATATAATGTCTCGAGAATACGAAGATGACCGTGAGATCAAAGATGGTCATGAGATCATTAATGATTCTGAGATCATTAATGATTATAAGATCATTACAAGTACGTTTTATCTTATGGATAAACTTGTTTTTATCTTGATTGATCATGGCTTCACATATTCATATCTTAGTGCGAAGACTTTGATGGCTAGATTGCAAGGAATTTAACTTGGAAGACTTTGAGTGCTTGAAGGAGTTTCAAAAATGGTACAGAAAATAAAGGTTAAAGATGAAAATGACTTCTCTCTCCACTTGAAGTTAGCGTGAAACACACCCAAAATATCTATTTTTCATATTTTTCTTAATTAGAAAAATATTTAAAAATGGCATTTGGTGACCCCTAGTCGATGAATTATCACTTAAAGGATTTTGGGTAAACTAAAGACTTGGTCCTTGAACTCTTAACATGGAAAGGAAAGGGCTTCCAAACTTCACTTACATTAAAACTACTAATTTCACATTTCTTTAATTTTGGTTCTTATCCATAGAATTTCTATATTATCCTAAATTACTTTAGGATTTATTCCAACTTAAATGTATTTATTCGAAAACTTGATTCGAATAAAATAATAATAATTTTCCAATCATCAAAAATCGAAAAAACTACTAGGCCGATTTTAGGAGGTGTTACAATTATTATATTTTTTAATAAAAAATATTAATTAAATTAAAAAATAATCAATTTAAATCATATTATATTTTTCTTTTAATCTGTATAAATTAATATTTCAAATATATATGAAATTTTATTCAATTGTTATTCAAATTTAATATTTGTTCCAGTGATTTGGTGTTCCTAAATTAGTTAATAGCCTGGGTTCGATCCTCTCCATTGTTGTTTTCCTTTCCCTTTTTTGGCATTAACAACAACATAAATTATATATATTACCGTGTAATACAAAGAATAAATTTAGAAGTTGGCTCAGTGGTTGGGCGTACGTTGTCATCCGTCTAAGACCCAGGCAGAACTCCTTTCATCCCTTTTAATTGTCTTTATTTGTTATTTGAATTTCCTCCAACCGACACATTTCACCATTAGATTGGATAATAAATAATTAAAAGAAAAGAAAAACCCTTTAATCTAATTGTGACACATGTCACAAAATGATTGATGGATTTAATTTATTGAATTAAATTAAAATTAGGAATAAGATAGAATATTTAAGTACTATAGACTAAATATGCAATTATATCGATTTTGTTAACAGACACGTCAGCTTCCGTCCCATATTTACTGCAAGTGACTTTATTGAAATCATTTATATAGATAAGTGGTTTGATTAACAAAATTAAATGATCGATGATAAAAGTAAAATGTTAAATAGTTGAGTGGTAAATAATACGGTTTACCCAAAAATTTTAATTAAATACTTATAAAATTCATCATTAAAACAAATTATTAAGTAATCAATTGGTTTCATGAAATGATACATTGAATGTTTTAAACAAAATCAAAAGTTTAAATCTTTATGTTACGAGAAAATTGAATTAAGAGAATCACTTCCATGATAGACTTAGGGTGCGTCTTGTAAAACTTTTTAAAAGCATTTTTAATTGAAAAAAATCTATTTTAACCACAAAATTAATGTCAAACGGGTAAAAATGAAGAAAAAATTGCGGTGGAAACATGTTCCAAACCAATCGCAAAAATTAGAATTTCTAGCTTTTTTATTTTTAACTTTACGTTTGGAAGTAAATTATAGTTTCCCTTATTAATACATGAGCTCCACTCAATTATGTATTTACATTTCATTTTAATAATTTAATACTAACTTCCTTAAAAAATAATTTATTATTTTTAATAATTTATTTTAATTATTTAAAAATAAAATAAAATTTATGATTTATATCTTAAAATATTAATAGTGAGTTATATAAATATATTTTTATTATAACTATGTTTTTATTTTTATTTTTTTTTTATTTTTTATAGTTTAAATCAATGTTTTTAAAATCGGACCGGACCTTAAATCGGTGAAGGTACTAGTTCACTGGTTCAACCGTGGTTAAACCGCGGTTGAACCGATTTATATAAAATAATATCTTTTTTAAATTTTACATAATATTCAAAGCAATATTAATATATATATATATATATCACTCTTTTTAATTCACAATATTAAAAGGTATAAAAATATCACAAATCATAACATATATAAGTTAAATATCATATTATCAAGTGAAATAAAAATGATTGAAATCAACTACAACATAATATTTAAGGTCAATATCTAATCAAATTCATCAACAACTAAATAAAAAAGTGCATAATTGATACAAGTATCAATCATCATAATATTCATTGAAATTGATTCCCTCAAATTCCAAAATAAAATTTGGGACTGAAAAAAATCATAACAAATGATGTGATTTGATTTAATTTTTTTAAAAAAAAACAGAACCATGTGAACCGCTTAAACCGCCAGTTCACACCTATTTTACTGGTTCCCAACCGGTTCTACCAATTCTTTAGCGATTCATTGCAAAACTTGTTTTGGAGGTTGACCGGACCAGACAGGCAATCGGCCGGTCCAATTTTGATAACATTGGTTTAAATTGATGTAATTCATATATAAATATAATTATAATTTAAATGTTATATTTTTAATTTACAACATAATGCCTATAATATACATTTTGTTTTTTTCAAACTTACTTTTTAACATCAATTACATACAAGTAAATTTTAAATACACTTTTGTACAACACTTTTAAAAGTTTGTTTCTACGGTACTTTTAAAAATCACTTTTCAAAAGCTATACCAAATTGGTCCTTATACATTACAAAATTAATCGATTAATAAATCTGAAACTAATAATTGAAAAAACACATTATCTAAGACCAACATGAAGTTATTTTCCGTAATCTAGCAAGGGGATGGGGGTTTATAGGCCACAATTAAACTCAGAACCATAATCTCAAGATCCAACCGTAACATAGAACTCCTTAGACTGGGAAGTTTACATATGCATGTGGAGAGAGACAGAGAGATGGTAGAGAAACAGGAAAAACGGTTGTTAATTTCCCAAGTCATTACCAACAAACTCTCCGTTTTTATCCCAGGGTCGGTTTTCGAAACCCTTTCCAATGATGCTTCGCTTCTCGCTTATCGTCCCGTCATCGCTCCAGTAGTCGGGGAAGTAATCCAGGAATGTTTTGCTTCCTAGTTCATCAATCCCATTAAAAAGGAAGTTTCTCAACAAATCCTACATTGATTCATTAGTTAGGTAAGGAACTATACGTCACATTGGCAGAGTCATTAGGACCGAATAATTCATGAATATATACCTTGGCAGGCTTCTCACCGATCAACCTTTTCAAAACCCCATGGCCAGGATCCTGCTTTCATACGAACCAAAAAGTCGAGAAAATAATAAACATTCAAACTTTTATGAATATCCCAATATATCCATGCCAAGTTTAGACATGAACTTGATGTGAAGCAACTAACGAATACATGCAAAAGACTGATATTATATCTTTAGGGATCAATTTCGTGTCCGTTTTGGACTAGACTCGTGGATCCAATTAAACTGTATTCATAGGCCAAGTCTCATCCTACCCTGAAATTTTGAAGAGAGAGAATGTAAAGCCTGAGGTTTGGACATGGGATTTTTCAGTCACACAAACTTTCCATCATAGATGTTATTTTCAGATAAACACATTAAGATCACACATTAAGATCCAAAGGTTTCAACGTAACCATTGATTAAAGCATCATGAGCGAGGAGTGACATGTATATCGTTATGTGTTTACATGTTAGGATGCGAATAAAACAAAAGTTTCATCACTCTCCCAATTCAAAGACTTTAAGAACTCAATTGCATCAACAATAAATTATTTTATCTTAATGAATGTGATATTTTCTATGTTCTGCAAAAATCTATCTGAATCTAACGGAGATGATATCTTCATAAAAATGACACCGTAAGAGGACGTGGAAATGTGTGATAATCACCTTTTCAGCTCTCCATGTTAGATATCTATGCTGTGCTTCAAGATTGCTCATAATTCGAGATGGATCAGTTTCCTCCACAGCTTGCTCCATTAGCTCCAACCATGCCTAATAAAGCATGGGGAAGTATGAAAACTAAGCACAGTTCAGAAGAGACAAGGTATCGCTAACGCTAACTATCATTCCAAATTTATATCATCAGGCAATGGCCACATTTCCCGGAAGAATAGTCTACCTTGTAGTATTCAACAAATGCAGAATATAGAATTTCATGTTTAGATTTGCTTGAAGTGAACTTGGTCCATATCACTATCGGTGAGAAAAACTTTATTGATTCACTCGTAAGCTTTCCTCCCCAAGGTAAAAGCTGCATGAAATCTGTGTTCAGTCATCATGGCATGAATTTTAGGAAGGATATAAACAATTATGAATATCAGGGTTTACTATAATGTGCAAGTTCTGATCATCTCATTTACCTCGGTATACTTGAGACCTAGAGGCATTAAGTGGTCATAGTACTTTTCCTCGTAGTCTCTTCGACTAATGACATCATGCAATGGATTTAGATCCCTACAAGTGATTAAATCAAGGATAAGTTCAAAAGTGGTGATTCATAATAGCTACAATCCAAAACTGAAAATCTTATTGTTCATTGTGAATTATTTTTCGAATATTTGATGTCAGACAATGTACAGAAATAGAGCCTGGGAAATATAAATGATACATATGCACCAACAAACAGAAAAGGCTATGATCAGTCCACCAATTAACGGGAAAAAACAAAACAAAACTTACAACACAACTATGTTCATATTAGCAGCCGTGAAGAAGTTCCCACAGAATATGGGTAGATCAAATTCTGGTTTTGGAAAGGCAGCAAAATCTAATACCTACAGAGAGAAAGACAGAAAAGAGTTAGTATTAAGAAAAGAATAAACCATACCGTCTACCAAATTAACAGCAGAAAACATCTATTTTGGGACAAAATCTGTACACTAACACAGTTCTGCCATAATGTACCATATCATGTCTTCAGAGTTTAAATCTTGCTTTCAGTTACTCTTTGTTAAAAAAAGAACTTTGACGATTCTAATGACTCTACACATCAAGAAAGCAATAAACACAGCATGGCAAGCCCAAGTCAATTAGAAAATTAAAGAATATGGCTTTTATCAAAACTAAAAGAATAATATATACTCGATTAGATCCAGATCACTGCTTGTAGACTTCGAGTTATATGAAGAATGTACGTCAATTAGAAAATTAAAGAATAAGGCTTTTATCAAAACTAAAAGAATAATATATACTTGATTAGAGCCAGATCACTGCTTGTAGACTTCGAGTTATATGAACAATTTATGACAATTATCAAGAGAAAACAGTCAAGAATAAATTTGAGGAATCACAAATTAACAAGTAGTATGTAATGAGTTCAAAAAAGGATAAGAAGAAAACTATTTTGTTTATTTGTCAAGCTATAAAACCCAGGTGTGTCTATATTAGTTTGCTGGTTTAACAAATCAGAATATTAAAGATAACAAATTTGATGATAATACCTGCATGGCTTCACCCTTAATGCTCATACTTCGAAGTAATCTGATTCTGGGAGTCTCAAATGATGACATTTCAAGCCTTGTTTGTCCATCCAATGCGATCATAGAACTATATTTTTCCTAAAGTTGCGTAAATATCCATATTGCAATTAAAGCAGGAAGATCAACATAAAATTATGAATTCATATCAAACCAAAAATTTATATGCATCAGTATGTCAATGCCATACTCATCAAATATCAGAAACAACAATGGAAGTGGCAGCAAAAAATGTTGGACTACCCAAAACCTTTATGTGTCTCGTTTGAAACCATCACCTGATAACACTGTGTTACCATGAGAAACCCCTACAAGTTGAACTCAGCAAGCTTAATTGTCGGATTTTGAGATAATCCAACTATAACAGTAAACAGTGAACCATGCTTCAAAACAAAGACCCTAAAGTGTTGTACCCTTCATGCGTTCCTCGTAAGCAAATATGACACGCATTCTCATCAATAAAGAAACTTGGTGAATTTCAAGTATAAGTAGCAGCAGTGTTGACTGTTGACCAAAAATGTTTAAGCGATTCTTCTTTTAAACCAAAAGTAAGTAGAATACAAAATACTATGAACACAGAACATTCTTAATGGCAATACTCTTGATCTGAACCATATGACCAAAAATGGCCCTTCTAAACCATAAAAACCAAGATAAAAAGATATTTTCCCAGTGGAGAAGAAAGATCAATCCTTTGTATAAATGAAATAAGGGCAGTAACAATTTGTGAAGATATAGCCAAAAGTATTCTCTATATCAGTCTAGTTTACAATGGTAGCAAAAAGTATTTCATAATTTTATAATGAAACTCATTTCAACATGGAGATTAGAAGTAAAGAAGGTAACACAAGGATTCATCCGTATAGTACTGTATCAGTAGCACTAACCTAAATTTCCAGAGATTTCAACAAAAAAGTTCAAAATTGAAATGTCAAAGAAGATGTATAGTAAAAATAAAACTAAACCCAGAAATAAACGACAAAATTCTCATAAAAATGTTGAAAATAAAACAGCAGATAACCAAATACCTGGTGGGGAGAGGGGAGCAAAAGGGTACGTCGTTCGGTTTCATTAAGAGAAAAGTCTATGAAGTCCTGATAAGAGATTGCAGAGACTCGAAGCAAGCAATGCCCTCTCGTCTTCCTTTTACTCCACTGAGAGCTGCCGCTAAAGTTAATGGCCATTAATGCTGAGTGAGGTTTCAACATTAAGCTTGAGCTTAATAACGATGAAGAAGAAGATAAATCCAATCTTCTTTTGGAAAGGGGAAAACAAAATTATAACGAATGGATTCTATTCAAGTGGAACTGCAAACTCCAACATATTGTTCATGAAATGTTTTTTTTAATGTTATTTTCTACAACTGTCAAGTGTTTCCTTTCAAGGAAAGTGGAAGGTTTTAGGGTCTTTGGGTTTTCGCCACGTGCACTGAAAACCCGTCATCTAAACACGTGAAGATAGCGTCTCTACGCAGAGGGCGAGGACGTGAACTTCCTCCGCTGGAGTAGGAAGCTGAAATATCGACGCCGCCCTCCTGAGATGAGGAATGGCGCCGTTTCTTGCACGTTTCAACGATAGTAACCACACAAAAAACCTACACGGCAGCTAAATATCACTTGCGAAAGAACGAAAAAAAAAAGAAAAAAAAAAGTATGATTTAAAATGTACCAAAAAAAATATGCGATTAAAATAAAATTAAAGAAATAGTTAATAAATGTGTAATTTACCTAAAATTATTATAAAATCACTCTTGCTTATGCATTCTATTCACTTTAGGTATTGAAGTATTTTTTTTTGTTTGGAATTTTGTCCCTGAAGTTACCATCCTATTGTATTAGTGAGAATTAAGTTGTTTTTTTTCTTATCGAAAAATTTCGGATAATATCTTAGTGGTCCATGAGTTGCTTAACTATCTGAATTCTTCTAAGAATGGTACAAACAAGGGAGTTGCGTTAAAATTAGACATTGAAAATGTGTATAATAGAGTGTAGTTGTCCATTCTGCGTAAAGTTATGCTGCGTTTGGGTTTTTTTTTTCGGATTGGGTTTGTGTTATCATGAGATTTGTAGAATCTGTTTTTTTTTTGTTCGTGTGAATGGTAGTTGAACTCGTGAGTTCAAGCCTAGCAGAGGGTTGAGGCAAGGTAACTCTCTTTCTCTATTTCTTTTCTCTTTTTATACTCAGGGTTTGTAGCCTTGTTACACAAATTGTAGGATTAGAGGAGGATCAGGGGTGTTAGTGATAGTCGGACTGGACCTAAGGTTACCCATTTCTTTTTTGCCAATGACAATATCATTTTTCTTAAAAATTATATTCAGGAAACCGAGCGGATCAAGGAAGCTTTGTGTATTTTTTAGGGGTCTTCTAAACATAAAATGAATCATGAGAAATATGTTCTTTATTTTAGTCTTAGCACAATTCAGTCTCGTCGGCATCAGTTGTCATCAATTTTGGGTATTGCTGAAGTGGAGGATCTTGACCATTATTTAGGTATGCCACTATACATTGGAAAAAATAAAACAAATACCTTTGGTTACCTCAAGGAAAAGGTGCATAATAGGAACTTAAGTTGGACTAAACAACTTCTCTCTCATAGTAGTCGAGAGGTGTTCCTTAAAGCTATGGCACAGGCTTTACCACAATATGTATTGTCATGTTATTTGTTACTTGAGGGCTTGGTTAATGACATGACGAGTGTTATAAGACGCTATTGAAGGTATGGAGATACTGATAAACATGGATGGTCGTTGGTTGCGTGGAAGACACTACGTAAACCGAAGCGTGTTGGTGAACTAGGTTTTTAGAATCTTCATAGTTTCAATATGGCGCTCTTGGGCAAACAGATATGGCGCTTTATCAAAGAGCCTAATAGTCCGGTAACAAGGGTGTTTCACATAAAGTATTTTCTGAGTGGATATATCTTGAATGCTGCTCTTAAGGATAAGAGCTCATTTTATTGGAAAGATCTTCATAAGACTCTCCAAGCATTACTTGGGGTACTATTCTAGAGAGTTGGTATCGGGAGTCATGTTCGATTGCATCATGGCATGTGGAGGGTCTAAGGCTATCTGTTTAACAGGGAATTACATTGATTTTACTCTTAATCCTATTTATTGTCATGAATTTATGTTGCAGATAACTCTCCAAAAAGGTTATCCTTTAGAAATATTTTTACCTAAGATAAGCTTGAACTTGAGCATTTTTTGAAACATTTTAGGATCATTTTTTACTTATTTTGCATCATTTGCAAAATGGGACTGAGTTGGTTAATGTTTGATGAAATTTATGTTTTATGCTAGGATTTGGTACACTAATGTAAGGGGCATTATTCGATGTTGTAGGTATGTTTTGTTGTGATGCTATGCTGGAATGTTGAACTGTTCTGCAACATTCAGTGACTCGCTGGGAAGATTGGAGAACCTTCTAGATGGGACAACTGGATAAGGACAACTTTCAAAGGCTCTAGAGTCACCTGAAATATAGCGGACGACCATTGGTTGAGGATCCACCCACTCAACCTATAAAAGGAGCAATATTCTCACCATTTTATCATCCAATTTTTTTATCTCTGATATCTTTCTCTGTCTGTAACACCCATAACCTGTATACGTAACCCAATACGAGTTACATATGTCACGTCAAAAATTCAAAACATTTATTTAATTGAACTGCGTAAAATTTTATTTCATTCAAACATCAATCACCAAGGAACATGATATTCAATGCATTATGATCACTTTATTTGTATTTCCAATCATGCTACTAATATGAACATGATATGAATTACATATAAATTTCTTACCAATATACTTTCCATTTATTCCATAAGCTCAACAGCTTATTCATCTGTTTATCATTTGTTAACCAATAAACCATAACCCAAAGTATAATTGTATGAGGACCCCGGTATAGGAGTTAAATATTGCACCGTAGTGCTGAGGTCGAGCCTTGCTCACCTAATAATGCACCGTACTGCAGAGGTCATGTCGTGCCCGCCTTACACACTGTAGTGTTTTGTACCGTGTGTCTTCACTAGACACTCTGAGGCTTGCACTATTTGCCTTCGCTAGACACTCTAGTGTTACCTAATATGCAGCTGCTAGACTCTATGACATGCCATTAATACCACTGACCCTCAATAACATACTTGGGCATATAGTATATTTTTATTTGATCTATCCATGGCAAAGCATATCAATACCATTTAACCTTTGGACGGTTCATACCCGAAATAAATTTATGATAAACATCATATGTATTCATGATAAAATCATGTGTAATGAACAGTGATCAATGCACTCTATATTCACCTTTGACATATTTAGAATATATCAATTATATGATAAATGCCATAAATATCATGACAATATAATTAAGTTAGACTTATCGTAAGTCCTACCCAATGATGTATAAACATCCATATATAATATTATGCACACATTTCACTCACTTTGAGACTTTATATGCAAGTCAAAATATAAGCCTCACTAATCTTTAACTTGATCCTTTGCTTCTCATTTGGTTAAATCCCAAAATTTGTCATAATTTCATATCCTGACAGTTTGTACTACCTTTAAAGAAATATTATTCTGTATTAATATACACCTTTAAAAATTATTCTATTAGTAACAATAGAAACTAGACTCAAATAAGAATCTATCCATATAAGGAACTTTTTCTAGTTCAATTTGTATAATTTATGATGAATTTTCAAAGTTGACCGACAGAATATGTTTTGAGCAGAATCTGCTACCCCGTTTTCTGACTTATCATCGATTAAAAACTCATTTATTTTTTTATATACCTCAAAAATAAATTTACGATTATTCTAAACAAAACTAGACTAATATAAGAATCCAACTGTATAAAAATAATCTTCTAATAATTGTTTTTAGAATTTATGGTGTTTTTCTAAACTTACTGTCTAGAACTAAATTCTAAGCAGATTTCACCAATTTGCATTTTCAACTTGTTCACTAATTCTATTAGCTCACCAAATGCACATATAAGCATGTCTCAAATCACATAACATTTTATGAGCCACTCCTTACCATAGTAAATCTGTCACTGGCTCATCGCAAGCCAATGTTTGTTCGATAACATAAGTACACCTGGTGTCCTTAGCTTGCAACCTTCCTTAGAATTTCTCATTTCTTCCTTAAGCTTCTCCTTAGCTTTAATAATGATTGACCTTGATTTCAAGAACACAATCTAAATAAACATCATTACCAAACATATACAAATTCAAACCAAATGTTAGAATCTTACTAACATAGGCATACTTTGGAAAATAAATTCCTAACAATTTTTTCGATGCTCATGCGATATAATTTCCATGTCACAACATAAATTTTGAGCTTAACTGTAACACCTACTACCCCTATACTTCTACCAATATAGGTTATAGATGTCACATGAATTACTGAAAACATTACCCAACTCAAAAGTGATTTTAAAATTTATTTTCTTCAATTTGTGACTGATAATATAAAAATATTAAATCACGTAAAACTATCACATGATATTTGATATATATATATAATTCATAATCAAATACTTCTATATATAATAAAAATACTGATTCATATTATCCATATGGAAATAGCGTAAAACGATTTAGTTTAGTCGTTACAAATCAGTTTCAAAATAGTTCAACAGAGTAACTAGGACATTCATAAGTATATGCCACTAACTAAGTCAAAATCACATCAAAGGATGTCTTATTAATATTGTAATATACTCCTCGATGTTTGGTGTTTCTCAGTACTCTTTACTCCTACTCCTGATCTTTACCTACGCGTGAAAATCATCAAAGCTAAGTATATACTTAGTGAGGCAATTAAAATAATAAACAGTGCAATACAACTCGTGCATGAAATTTAATGTCATTTTCCAATGTCATAAGATCACCTTACCTGCATGACCAATATTTTACCATAATCACATGATAATAAAATCATTATAATCATTTGTACCAATAACCATAACCCAAATTATTAATCCATGAGGAACTAGTATAGGAGTCAAATATTGCACAATAGTGCTGAGGTTGAGTCTTGCACACTTAATAATGCACCGTAGTGCTAAGGTCGGGCCTTGCCCACCTGACTTGAAATATATGTCTTCATTAGACACTCTTGTACTACTTAAATTTACAGCTGCTATACTCTATGGCATGCCTTTAATACCACTGAACCTCAATAACATACTTGGGCATCTAGTCATGAATTAAATCATCCATGGCAACGTATGTCCATATAATTATCATTAGGGCAGTTCATACCCGAAATAACATTCATGGCAAAATATCATATTTGTCAATGATCAATGCATTATGATTCACACTTTGACATATCAAGGTCATGTCGATATTATGAATAATGACATAATATTATAATGATATAACAAGGTAGACTCATCGTAAGTCTTCATGATGATGTATAAAATATCTATGTACCATGTCATGCATGTATTGCACTCACCTTGACACTTCATATATAAAAAGATGTGCCTCACTATGCTCCACGCTATCCTTTTATAATAGATTTGATTCGATCT